GCTTTGCGCAAGCATGTCCGGTTTAGAAACATCCCGAGCCCCAATTTCCTCATTTCTGGGGATGCGCTGGCCTTGAGTGCTGGCAGTGAGCACACACACTTTGCTGCAAGTGCCTCAGCAGCGGCAGCGTGTGTGTGAGGTGCCAGCCCCCGGCTTCCTCTGCCAAGGAGAAAACCCCTTACCAAGGATGCACCAGGTCCTGCGCTGGGCTGTACAAGTGTTTCCTTCACCATCCCCATGCTGTGCTGTGCCACAGGCTGGTGGGACCCATTTGGCATCAGATGCTGAGCGCCAAGGAGGCTCAGCAAGGGCAAAGTGCTGGCAGTTTGAAAGAAAATGTACAATTCGACACACAGAGCAGAAAGTTTAGCACTGGGGAGGTTTTATGTCAGTTTTCTTGTCTGCTAGCAAGGGAGAGGGCAGGGGCAAATGCAAAGGGAAGGGGGAACGTGGGGGTGTGCTGGGCTGGGGGTGTCACACCACCCTGGGGCCATGCGAGGCTTTCCCCTCCACTCCAGCTGCTTCCCTCCAGGGGCCCTGAGCTGTAGCCATGTCGCTATTTAGTTAAATATTAAGAGGACAAGTAAAAGAGAACCATAAACCTAGTTGCACACTGCCCTCCATAGCACAGCAGATTTTGCTGAAAGCAAACCCAGCCCCTTGCGTTACAGGAACGTTCTGCTGCTCGAAGTAATGGCCACAATCCCGACAGTGGGCACCGTGCTGGGGATGCAGTGCAGGTGGGAGATGCCACGTTGCTGCATGATGAATGTCAGCAGCCCCCGGCTCTGTGGTGCCCATGCACTGGGCCTGCGGGGCCTCAGCTGAGCTCAGCCCATGGAGTCCGAGTGCCTCTGGGTGCTCTTCTGAGACCCCGCTTTCAGCTGGAGCTGGGGCTGCCTGTGCCTCCCCATGGTGTGTCGCACACAGGATGGGGTTGGCAGCCCTGCAGCGCTGCAAGGTGCTCGTGTCCTGTCTGGAAGGGGCTGCGTGTGTGCATCTGCACATCTGTGCATGTGTGCTTACAAACACATGCATGTGTCGGCAGGCATAAACGCACCCCTGTGCTGTGTGTACATACACACACTTGTAAGTACATGCGTGTGCGTGCACCCCTGTGCATACACCTGCATGTGCCAGCAGCGCTGGGTGCCCATGTGCCATGGGAGAGGAAGCTGGGTGGGAGCTGACCCTGCAGGAACTTCTGAGCTGTTTCCTTCTTTTTCCCTGTGAGGAGCAGGCAGGGGTCCCACAGGTGCGGCACGCACCCCGTCCTGGGGTGGGGCAGGGGAAGGCAGGGCTGGGGGAGCTCTCCCTGCACCATGGCAGACTCAGTCCCCAGCCCACAACTCATTCATTCTCCCTGCTCCCAGCGGGGAAACTGAGGCAGGGGCCAGCCCGGCTCACCCACCTGGGGGCACAGCCACTGGGCATCCCTAACCCCCAAACTGCCCATCCATAGATTTTTTCCCACTTACCTGGCTGGAGTGAGCCCTTCTCCCCCACCAGCCATGGGGGTGGCTGGTCTCCAGGGCTCATGGTTGTCTCTGGATGGCCCCAGACCCCACATCCCTGGGGCTGTGTTAGTAGCCCCACAGAGAAGCCATGGCCTCCCAGCTCAGCCCAGTGCTCACACAAGGTTGTGGGGCCACCATACATCTCAGACACCCTCCCACCTTTCACTCCCCTTCATCACCTGCCCAGTAAATAGCTGAAGCCATGCTGTGTTGGAAACAGCTTTATCTGGACAACTCCCCATCTGTTGGGCAGGCAGGGTATAGTGTCCATGGTCTCAAACCACCCCACCACTGCTCAGGATCCAGGGCTTGTCCCCATCACGAGGCTGCTCGCCAGGCGTCCCGCAGCCTGGCCTTCACCTGAAACTTCTGCACCTGCAGCACAACACCAAACTTGCCATCCAGCGAGGGTAGGGGCCGGTCTTGGGGGCACTCGAGCGTGAACCTCTGCAGCACCCACGCCAGGAAGAGGAAGAGCTCCATCTTGGCCAGGACTTCACCCAGGCAGACGCGGATCCCGGCCCCGAAGGGCAGGTAGCTGGGTGAGGGTGAGTGGATGTGCTGGCCCCGCTCATCCAGGAAGCGCTCTGCAAGGAAACGGGGCACCATTGGTGTCACCAGGGATCGGTCCCTTCTGCCTGAAACCTGCCCGAGTTAGAATTATAGAATCACAGAATGGTTTGGGTTGGAAGGGACCTTAAAGATCATCTAGTTCCAGCCCCCCTGCCATGGGCAGGGACACCCTCCACTAGCCCAGGTTGCTCAAAGCCTCATCCAGCCTGGCCTTGAACACCTCCAGGGATGGGGCATCCACAGCTCCTCAGGGCAACCTGTTCCAGTGCCTCGCCACCCTCATAGTGAAAAATTTCCTCCTGATATCACGTTCATCGTGTGTGTCTCTCCCGCAAGCGGAAGGAGCAGAGATTGTGTGAATGCCCCAGCCAGCGGGGAGTAGGATCCGATCCCCCACCACCAAGTGTCCCCCAGGCTCAGCCTGGCCCCTCTCCGGCTGCCCACACCGCACTGTCCCCTGCCCCTTGGGAGCACCCAACCCACCGGGGTTGAACTCCTCGGGCTTGTCCCACTCGTTCTCATCATGGTGCACAGACCAGAGGTTGATGATGACCCTGGCACCCTTGGGGATGGAATATTCCCCGATGCTGCAAGGCAAAAGCAAACTGAGGTGGTTGCCCCGTCCCATTATCTCAGCCCACGTCCTGGATGTCTGAGGGGGTCTCACCTGGTGTCAGCAAGGGACATGTGTGGGATGAGCAGGGGGGACACGGGCCGGATGCGCAGCACTTCACTGATGGTGGCCTCAAGGTAGGGCAGCAGCGGGCGGTCGCTGAGGTGGGGGTGGCGTGCCAGGCCGATCTTCTGGTCCATCTCCTCCTGGATCTTCCTCTGGACCTGGGAGGGGAGGAAGGGCTGAGTGTGAGCCTGGAGAGGGGGGGTGCCCTGTGCGTGGGGACACCCTGTGGCAGTGGGCTACACACAGAATCACCAGCATGTCCTGGCAGGTTGTACACGGCAGAAGTAAAATGCCCACAGCCTGATCCTGCTTATTCACCAAGCCTGACATCTCTCTTGGCACCTGCCTTCCGCAAAGGCCCCCACAATGTCCGTGGTGCCAGAGGGAGCCCAGGCCCCCCACCATGGGGCACAGACCCTACCTTGGGGTAGTGGAGCAGGTAGAGCACAGCCCACTTGAGCACAGTTGTGGTGGTCTCCACGCCAGCCCCAAAGATGTCCCCCACTGTCATGAGGAGGTGGTCGTCTGTCAGCTCCAGCCCTGGTGCTGGGGGGCTGCTGTTCTCGGCACGGAGCCTCACTTGGAGGAGGGCGTCCATGAGGTCCCTCACGGTGTCCCCGCAGAAGGACTCCTGCCAGGGCACATGCGTGAGCTGGGCTGTCCTGGGCTCATTCCCCCCACCCCAGCTCCAGCACCCCACAGCTCCTGAGCATCTCCCTGTCCTGGCTCTGTTGGTACCTTGTGTTCAGTGAACTTCTGCTGGAGCAGCTGGTCCCGGACCTTGAGACATCTCTTCAGCAGGGCCAGGTCCTTGTTGGGGAAGATCTGGGGGAGAAAAGCCCCATTAGAGCAAAGGGCTCCAGCTCATCACGTCCTCTGCAAGCCCCCAGGCAGTCTCTCTGTCCCCACCAGGGTACTGGCTCTTGTGGGACACTGGGACCTTCCTAACCCCGGAAGGCTCAGGTAGCCCCCTCCTGCAGGACACATCTCAGCTCCTTCCTCTCTTCAGAGGTGAGAGGAACAGGAGGTCCCCATGTCCCTGTTCACCTGGAGCCAGGGGAAGATGTCCACCAAGCTCTCCTTGGCCACGGTGTCCACGATGCCCTGGCTGTACTCCAGCATCGCCTCGAACTCTGGGTCCCCACGCCGGTACGAGGAGTTGAAGCAGAGGGAGCAGACCACGTTGGTGACGGCCCGAGTAAGCTCGGGGTCCATGTCCAGGGCCATGTTCTGTGCAGCGCTGAGTGTCTCACAGAGTGATGCAGCCTCCCGGCAGACTGGGGTGGAGGGGAGAGGCAGGCAAGGGGGGGGGAAGGGGAAGCTGGGGGCTGGAAGAAGGGGTCCCCCCACTCATTCAGGGAGAGCATACCCCAGCCAGGGCTGAGCCCCAGGGGGCTGGGACAGGCAGAAGGGACCATGCTGGGTGCTAGGGAGGAGCAGAGAGGATGGAGGCGGGAAGGGAAGTCTCCGTGTTTGATGCTCCTCCTGGGGCGAGTGGGGGGCTGGGAGCTGGCTCCGTGCCTCAGTTTCCCCATCTGTGAGTGAGGGGAGCCAAAGCTCAGGGTGGAAAATACAAGGGGAGAAGTGTCAGTAAAGGACTGGGGGTGGAGAGAGAGGGACCAAGCCCCCACTAGGCAAATTGGGGGTACCGGGGTGCTTGGGCTGAGCCAATGAATCACCCCTTTGTTCCCAGGGGATCAGGGTGCTGAGAGAGGAAAAGTCCAGCCAGGATCAGGCGTGGGAGGGAGATAGAGCTGGGACGGAGCCCGGGGGCAGCGGGGGGCACTTACTGATCCTCTCGAGGGCAAGCGAGCCCTCCCCGAACATGGAGAGGGCGGTGTGCACCAGCTTGCGCTGGAACTTCCAGAGGGGCCCATAGCTGGCGAAGGCAATGTCCTTG